GACGCTTTAATTTTTTTTAATGCGAGTGCGGTCAACATAGTTTCACGGGTTTGTTGCATGCATTAGCTCTGTCGATCCACTGCCATCAAAATTCGCCAACCATTCGGTTGCTCCAATTAGATTGTCAGAATTACAATGATAATCTCCTGCGGTTGGGTCCCCTCCGACCATCGGTTATTCTCCAACAGGTGGTTGCTATTCTGTAGCAGACCGAGAACATACAACAAAGCCCAAGGTATCATATATGTTGGACTCAAGAGCGAATGGGCACTTGTTATAATTGTCAACATAACAGACCTCCACCTTTCTGCCAACCCTTTCTTTACGCAATGCAGCATTACAACCCAAAGCCATATCTTCTACAAGAGCCTCCGTTGCACAGGCACAGGCATCCACTTGCTCACTCGCCTTAGCCAATTGATCGGTAAGGACCTCAATCTTGGCGTTAAGCTCTTCTGCTTCGACATTCCATGCATCCGTGCGCTTGTCCCATTCTTTAAACTCATCCAGAAGGTCCACTCGCTGAGCCATAGCGGATTTACAAACCTCGTGCTCCGCATTACAGGTGAACAAGTCTGACTCGCAGGTAGTCAAACTGGCGGCGCAAGTTTGGCCTTCCGTCTGCGATGCTGTGAGTGACAGTTGTAGCGTACTTCGTTCACTGTCACACATATGAAGACTTGCAGCTAGAGTAGCACTCTCAGCAACCTTGCTTTGAAAATCTGTGTTACATTGCGCCAACACATTAGCCTGGCTCGTCTTATCGGCCAAGCATGTGTCAAGTGTAGTTGTTAGACTCATCAGATTCATAGTGCAATTAGCGGATGCAGTGGAACAAACACTCAGCGCATCTGTGCATTCGTCATGGTCCGTTGTGCTATCCAATAAGGTTGTGATACAAGTTGCCAATTGGCCCGAAATATCCGCCACTGACTGCTCTAAGACTCCGTTGCTTGCTTCGCATGCGTTAAACGATGTGGTTAAATTTGCTGTGAGCACCTGGCAGGTTGTTAGCTGGCTACTGATTGCTGCTTTATTTGTCAAACATGTCTGCAGACTTCCGTCGCACGTCGCTTTATCCGCAACGCATGCATCGGATGATGTTGTGCAAATCTGCAAATCTGTTGTAAGTTGTGTTTTGTCAACTGTGCATGTGCTTAAGCTCTCTGCACTATTGAACAGGTCAGCAAGGCATTCATCCTCAGCACTACGGCTCTCGACTAGAAGTTCAGAGTATTCCACGCCCACGCAACCAGGATCTGGCATGATGTATGATGTCAACTTTGTACGTTTTGTTAGGTCTGCTTCTGCCACGACCGGGAAGGTACTAATTTCATTTAAGGGTCTCATGCCTTCCCACTTGAAAAAGTAGCAAGCCTGTTTACCTCCCTGATTAACTGCATAAAAACCATCAGCGCCCCTCTCATTAGCCCTATAGATGCAGCTCGCTTGACCGCCTTCAGTCATGAATAAATCATGCCATAACTCGCTATGGATACGATTACTATAATAACCCAGCTGCCCGTCTAACCAAAGACCCGAAAGAGGCGTCAGAATATAAGAAACTATACCAGTCTGCGCTCTAAGATCTTCAGGATGAATGCGTGGCAAAGCATCTAGAGAGGCCTGAGGAATGAAATTTTCATCGCTAAAGAAAGTGCACTTCATCTTTCCATCTTGATTTTGCGCGTACAGGCCGGCGAACCCATTCGATACCGTGTCGCTAATACACTGGTTTACGCTGTCTTCCGCCATGAACACTGTTTCATACACTTGTTCGAGAGCCTTATCAGCATCTTGTCCAATCGCTCCTGCAACCCATTCTCCCTTGTAAGTGCAAACGTTTGCACTCACAATCAGAAAAATGTAGGCATACACACCAATCAACAGCAACATTCGTGTCATACTGTACTTTCTATTTGCTACAGTCTGAACCTTTATTTGAGCTTGTCCTCGTTATATATAGATCGCTTTGGATCAGTGTCTTAAAAATTAACAGCTTTGTGTAAATAGACAAGAAATATTTGACGCCAAAATACAAGTTCGTTGAATCACCGATAATAAATGGCTCAACGTATATCGGGATCATTAAAAAAATGTCATCACTAGATTGCGGACAGCGAATAGTGAATGATATCCAACTGGCAGGCCTGTTTCCTTCAACACGGCTCATGCTTCACAGCACAGACGTTTCTGTTGGTAGCAGTGGTATTTTTCATATATTTCTGTGGCATGCAATAATACCGAAATTTACTGATAAGACATTCCGATTCTTCAAAGGGGTTTTAGTGCAATGTCGTTCTCTGAAGAGTGATGTGAACCGTAACAACTGGCAACCGATAGGCAATGCAGTTTGTACTCGTCAGTGATTTGAACTGAAACTCTTAAATGAACCCAAATTGAAGTTTGAAACAAGCAAACAAAACCATAAACATGCTGCCCTGAACAAGTGAATATGATGCGACAGTTTCAGACAAATACATGTCGCGACACTATGTCTTTTTCTATCCCTCAATCTGCCCAATCTCTTTTATGAACGACATTCTTGGCGACATGTCTCGTCACTCTCGACGACGGTCATTTTGACTTTTGTAGTTTATTACTAGAAGAGATGTCATGGTTTTTAATTTTCAACAAAGCATAATACAAAAAAACACCAGCTCTCTAGTAGGCTATAGTAGCGTGCGAAATTGTGAATGTGCTTCTGATACTGCTTTTCGGCTTCCACGAATCATGAATCAGTGAATCAGCAATCACAATATTTAGTCTATTTCGCTTCGCACCTCCAATTCAGAATTTAGAAATCCTGAAATCGGCAAATCGACAGTCCAGAATTTATCGTACACCACAGGTGACAGACTGACAGTTGATAATGATAGGGCGAAAAATTGGAAACAGAGTAACGGAGTGTAAATGAGCAATGCCTTTCCTATTGCTTTGATTGCCCAATAAATTGTTGGAACGCCAGTTGATGAGTTGAAGTACATATTAAGACCAGCTAGTATGGCCTATGGCGTATGCCTTATGCACTATGCAGTGAGTTAGTAAATAGTATGTACTATGTAGTAGGTGTTGACTTGAAGTATGTATGCAGTATCTATAAACAACTTGAGCTCTATAAATGAATGCAAAAAGTAACAACGCGGCAGAAATCTCCTGCAGTCGACATTACAATTCCAGGGAAACTTAAACGGTGACATCAAAGGCTTGAACTGTAGCTGCTCTAGCCACACTTTGAAAGCTTTGAACTGAGCGTCATTTTGCGGCCACAATTTTTACAACTGCAGCTAGCGTGAAATTAGTCCGTAATAATATAGCGTCACTTTA